AGACAGAAAACAAATATCGGCTGAAGTAAGCTGGGACTTTTAGCTCAGATAGAAAACAAACATCAGCCAAAGAAAGCTGGGACTTTCTCAGTTTGTCTCAAAAACAAAAAGCAGGTAAATCCGTTTTCTGACATTTTATCGAGGATTAAAGTCAGATTAATGAGATTGAACCTGCAGAGTTCAGGTTTTCATTGCTTAAGCTCTGAAAATATGAAATGTATAATAAACATTATTATTTAATTTTCCTCTGGGATTAATAAAGTATTTTTGAATTTGAATTTAAATTGAATGTGAAACGGTCGTTTGTCGTTAAACACAAGACTTTTTGCCCAAAGATTCTTAAACTTGTAGAAAACTCAAAACAAACGGAACCGAACGCTCGTTTCCATCCAGATGTTCTGAAACTTTAAATTGATTTCAAGTATCCTGAAGTCTAATTTAATCTGATTTCTATATTTGTTTATTAAACTAGCTCCTGTATCTGTTCATGTTGGTGTAAATCGTGAGAACTTTTTTAAATATTTAATTCTTTTTTTAGTTTTTTTTTTTTTTAGAAATGCAGCTGAAGTTTAAATTTTTAAATTTATCTAAATTAAATCAAACTTTAATTTTACCTGCATCTAATGTAAACAAACGTATAAATCTAAAAATCTAAATCCAACTTTTCTTAATCCAAATTCAATCTCGTCCTTTGATCCTAATTCAAATAAAACTAAACCGATTTAATCTAATCCAGATTAATTGATCTAATCCCAGGCATCTCAGTCTTGGGTTGACTGACCCGGTAAAGTTCTGTTTCCTTTCAGGTCCTCTGAGTGTCCCAGTCATTTGGGTCGGGGGTCTCTGGTGAACCGGACCCTGGACGTGGGCCTCCCCAGTCCGTCTTCAGGCGGCGGCGGCGGCGTTGGCGGCGCCCTGTTCCGCCTGACGGGGCGACCGGCGTGCCGGGCCTTCCTCCTGACCTCTGTGGTGATGATGATGGTCCTCCTGACGGCCATCGTCATCTTCCTCCTCACCTACAAGAACATGGGCTGAGTGACATCACTTCCTGTCTAATGGGGGAGGGGCATAAAATCTGCCACAGTGAAGGAACTGAATGACCCAAAAACTGATCCAGATGTGCAATAAAAGACAAATCTCCCTGACCCGGACCTCAGAACCAGAACTTGTGCTTCAGGAAGAACAACAGGACCGCTCGGGCCGAGCTGGTCCTTCTTCTTCATGGACTTTTATCAATTTGACGTCAGCTGGAAGCTTCAGAGAGGAGAACCTGCTCAGCTGGGCCAGTTTTACTGCAGAGCTCATGGAGGGGGGTCATGGGGGGTTCAGAAAATAAATCCACTTCTGAGTGATGGAGAGGGGGGTGTCCAATCTATATCTGTAGAAGAACGGGTTTCATCTTCTGCAGGTGGAGCTTCAAACCTTCTGGACGTCTGATCTGATCCTTTTCTCCCGACTCAGAACTTTAGACTTTAGTTCTGATTCAAATCAGATCCGATGACTTGTCTTCAGGTGGACTGTCCTCCTGTTGTGTCTTCAGGTGGACTGTC